ATATCACTCACTTTAGAAAAATGAAAGGGAAAATGGCAATATGATCCTAAAAATCGACCTAGAAAAGGCCTTTGACAGGCTGGAATGGTCCTTTATTAGAGACACCCTTTCTGCTTTCAACTTCCCCCAGGGCTTATCCAAACTCATTATGTCCTGCATCAGTTCATCCTCCATCTCCATTCTTGTCAATGGGGGGAAAACTGAACCCTTCAAACCTTCAAGAGGTATCAGGCAGGGAGACCCAATGTCCCCCTACCTATTCATAATGTGCATGGAAAGATTATCAAGATCAATTGATAAGGCTGTTCTGGACAACCAGTGGCAACCCATAAGTATAAGTACATCTGGCCTAAAAATATCCCATCTTTTCTTTGCAGATGACCTAACTCTCTTTGCTAAATCTAATGACAAGAACTGTACCACCATACTTTCCATTATGCAGAACTTCAATGAACAGTCAGGTCAGAAAATAAATCTTGCAAAGTCAAGGGTCCCATTTTTCTCAAACACTCCACAGGACCCCATACAGAATCTCAACAACTCCCTGTCCATCCAACACACCACCTCCTTTAGAAAATACCTTGGTTTCCCCATTTTCCATAAAAAGCAAACCAGTGTAGACTTTCAGTTCATCATTGATAACATGCAATCCAAACTGGCTGGTTGGAAAATAAACTGCCTAAATATGGTTGGCAGAACTGTACTGGCCAAAACCTCTTTAAACAATATTCCTAGCCATGTCATGCAGTACATCAACTTGCCCACTAAAGTTACCAATCAGATTAACAAAACCAAAGGAACTTTCTTTGGGGCACCACTCCTGAAAAGAAAAAGCTCCACCTAATCAAGTGGGAGGTGGTCACAAAGAGCAAGGCTGATGGTGGTCTAGGACTCCAAAAGGCCAGTCTTAAGAATAAAACTTCTCTTACAAATCTTGCCTGGAGGACCTACAACAATACCAACAGTCTATGGGCAAGAGTTCTAATTCATAAGCACTGAAACATGTCCAACAATGCTAGGCTACTTAGAGCCCCAAGATATCCTAGACATCCTAAATCAACAACCTTGCAGTGCATCCTAAGGGGCTGGGATAATTGCTACAAAGCAAGCAGATGGGTAGTTCACAAGGGAAACAAGGTCAGCTTCTTAAATGATGTATGGATCCCCAATCAGCCAGCAATCAGACGGTTGATTGAGGGTCCTTTAAGCCAAAATGACCTCAATGCTAAGGTTAGCTCAATCCACAACCTAGGAACTTGGGACACATCCTCCTTGTCTATTGCTCTTCTCCCTAGTATCCTGAATCTGTTAAACTCAGTGTTTATTCCCCAGTTCCTACTAAGGAAGACAATTTCATATGGAACTTGACTTCGAATGGCCAATTCTCAAATAGTTCTGCTTATTCCTTCCTAAGCAAGACTGACTCCAGCCTTCATTCTAGTGAGGAAGGCTCCTTCAAATGGGTCTGGAAGCTGCAAGCTCCCAACAAAATCAAGAATTTCATCTGGCTCCTCACCCATAGGAGACTCCCAACTAGGAGCTACCTCCATAGAATTGGGATAAACTGTGACCCCCAATGTCCTTATTGTAACAATGGTCAGGAAACTATTGACCATATGTTCTTTGAGTGCCCTAATGCTGTACACTTCTGGAATGAAATACTGTCAAAATCTACAAGAGACAGCTCACAACAGACTCCAGGATTCAATGGCCATCAGTGGCCATCAACATGGAACTCAATCAAAAATATCCCCTTCAACAGCTATATCCTTTGGGGTAACCTCATTCCCTTCTGCTTCTGGCACATCTGGCTAACTAGAAACAACAATTTATTCAATAACAAGAAGGATCACATCAACTCCACAAACACAATCTCCAAAGCTACTGAATACCTTGTGCTTACAATAAATGGCCCTAGGAAAATAACTCACCAAATTGTAATAAAATGGGAGCCCCCAAGCAGAGGCTTCTACAAGCTAAACAAGGATGGAGCAGCAAAAGAGAACCCAGGGATTGGGGGATCAGGAGGAGTATTTAGGAATCACAATGGTAACTGGATAATGGGGTACATGGACAATATCCTTCACACAACAAACACCAGGGCAGAATTACAGGCACTCCTAAGGGGTCTACAACTTGCTGAGCAAAATAACTTGGCTCCTCTGGAGATAAATACTGACTCCTCTGAAATTATCAATATGCTAACGAATGGAAGCCTCATTTATGATCCCTTAATTTGTAAATGCAGGTCACTAATTCACAGGATAGATAGGGTGGTAGTGAAGCACACCTATTTGGAGCAGAACAAAGTAGCTGATGCATTGGCCAAGGAGGCAGCAAAAGAAGTCTTTTTGAACAAGTCTAGGATATTATCAGTTCCTCCGATGTTTGTCAATGATATATTTTGGGCAGACATCCTAGGAACTGAATTGGTTAGAACTTTTGTGGGTTGTAATATAGACACAATCGTGCATAATATTACTGCTGTGGGGGTACTACAATACCCTAGCAATGACTCTGTTGTATTATCTTTTGTTATCTAGCATATATAATAGGCGAAATGGCTTCCTGGCCACTTAAACTTGTAGGGCTTTTGAAAGCCGATACACAAACTTTAGTCTTTCCCATTTAAACACTCAAACTCGTGAAACCTATAACAAATAAACACCTTTGACCATTGACTATACTTATGTGGCGGTAGGTTATCTTACGTGAACATAGTGCGTACAAGTCACATTCAAATGGCGCGTGTGTGCCAATTTCCATAATAGAAACACCCCCCCCCCGGCGGATCTCGTCTTCTACACACCACCCATGTATCTTCGCACCATCCCCAACGACCAGAAATAAGGCATCACCCATAACCCACAGCAACGATCAAACGAACCCAACCAGTCCTTCCTCCCCGTCGCGTGGACCGACTTTGGTGGTCAACAACGGGATCTGCGTGAGGGTTGATTTCGTATTCGGATCCCAACCCTCCATTTTGTGATCTGCCGGAGAATTTGATGACAATCGTATATGCTTTGTTCTTGCTCTGTGTCTGATGAATACAGAAGTTAATTGTACGAAGTCTTCACAGCTGCGTTTCTTCCTGTTAGATTCGGATTCGAACACACCCAAGATAAACAGATCTGTCCCATTTTTTTCCATCTCCATTAGAGGCTTTGAAGCTCTTCACTGCACAACAATGGTGGATTTATGCTCGAAAAAAATACCTCAAATAAACCAATGGTCTGGCTTCCTAAACATCACAATATCTCCTACACCTACTAACCTTTGTCTCCTTCCCCATTAAAACTGCTGAAAAATACCCAAAAATATATTATCTTTAGAATCAAAATAGACAATTATTTTTCTTCATTAAAAAGCTTCTCTGCAAAAAAATTTAAAAATGAATATCATCTTTAATTTTTTTTCTGGTTTTNAGGGGATTGTCCATGGCAAAAATCACGCTTAAAATGGGTTTGATCTTGAAATGGAGAGATCTTTTACCTGGTCTGAACAAGATAAATGAAGATACGAAGTCCGTCAGGATCTTTACTAGTCTGCACATTCATCAGTGAACCAATCTTAGGTGTAGTGAATGATACGTGCTCATTCCCCATCATTATCTCAGGCTCCCGCCTCCTAATTCTATCAGTTGGTGAGAAGAAAATAAGGGAAATAGAAGAAAAATTAGAAATTAATAAATTTATTCCAGCATAGCTATGGGCACTTGACGTGTAACAATCCCATTGGTCATTTGCTGACTGGATGGACACGCCTGTCAATGTGTAATACACGCGCGTAGGGTCAATGGTCAAAGGTGTTTATTTGTTATAGGTTTCACGAGTTTGAGTGTTTAAATGGGAAAGACTAAAGTTTGTGTATCGGCTTTCAAAAGCCCTATAAGTTTAAGTGGTCAGGAAGTCATTTCGCCTATATAATATAATATCTCTTTAACCACAAAAAAAAAAGGTCTAGTATGAAGCAAAAAAAAACAGAAAAAAAAAAAAAAAAAAAAAAAAACACCCAACTTCCAAGGATTCTTTTGTTGCTCATGCATTTGAGTAACCATTACCGGCCACCACATTATATAAATCAATATAGATTCATAAATCCAAGCCATCCAGATTCCAGGGCAAACTTAATTCATTTTTTTCGCAAAAATTTAAGAAAGCTTTGATTTTCCATTTATGAAATAAAACGATTAAATCAATTAATAACTAGGTCTCAAATGGACGATTTAGCAGGAAAATAAGTTAAGGCGCAATATATATGCCCTAACGTTATTCCGTCTATATTAGTTTAATTTCATGAAGAATATAGTTTTGCACAGTTAAACAACATTTAAAAAAAAAAAAGTATAGTATAATAAACAAAAGAAAAAGAGAAGTAATCTTTAGGTGTTGTGTAGGGTAGGACCTAAATATTGATGGAGCGCATATGAATATTAAGGAAATCAAAATAGATGGCACATTTGGCGTGCTTATGTAGTATAATTCATAAAGCTAAGTTACATGTATATAATATATTGTCACCTAACTAGGAAAGAAACCAATACATGTAAATAAATTAGAAAACCTTACTCCCTCCGGTTCACAATAAGTGTCCAATTTACTTTTTCATTTTGGTTCAAAATAAGTGTCCAGCTATGTAATCAAGAAAGAATTCAATTTGTTTTTACAAAATACCCCTATGTACATATCCCTAAAAAGTTTTCTTACTCCTCACATTAAATGTTTAATTAGGGGTAGTTTAGTCATAGTAGGTATTTTTGTATAGAATTTAGTATTTTCTTAATGGGCGTGCTAAAAGTAAATTGGACACTTATTGTGAGCCGGAGGGAGTAATATATTACTCCCCAATGTCAAGCCAAAGTTTGAGTTTCACGGACTTACAAGCCAAGCAAACAGCAACAAGTTTAATCGCAGGACTGCTAGCTTCTGGATTACTTCAACTGGCCCGGGTTTGTTACCACTATAAATCTGTAACTACACAGTTATGTTAGAAATCAATCAAAATATAGAATATAGTACATGAGTTGCTATTAAATTGAGGTTAGACAACGTATGTTTATCCTTTCTAGTTTTGTTTTCTGAACCTTTGTTTGTTTTGGAAAAACAGGATTTGACTCAGGATCGCCCATCTTTGTTAATCCTAGCATTTATATAAGCGATATTCACTTAGTAAATTTCCATATATACGATGATCATGGACTTTTTGGTGACGAGAAGGGGAGGAGGAGGAAATCTAGTAACACCTTCAGGACAAACTCCAAATGGTGTGCTTGATCTCTCAGTTATAGACAGTTTAGCAGTCCTTCGATGCAATGCACGTACGTTGCACGTGTTTAAAGGCGGAGACGCTACTCTCATTCGGGATGCATTTTCAAAAGCTTTGGTTCCTTACTATCCTCTTGCCGGCCGTCTCAAAATGTCAGTGCACAGTAATAACCAGCTTCTTCAAATTGATTGTTCAGCACAAGGCATTTGGTTTGAGGAGGCTTCTGCTGATTGTACTCTTTATGATGTCAACTACTTGGATGAACCTGCAGCTTTGGAAGATAGTACCTTTGATAAACTTCTACCTCAGCTTCATTCTTCTTCTCCTCATCCTATTGGTCATGATACTTTCATGGACCCATTGGTGCTTGTGCAGGTAAACTACTACCTATATATATATATATATATATATCGCAAATTGTTAGTTGTTTAATTTTTTACGCTATCAGCTCACTTTTATCTGTTGTACCTTGTTTTATTTGCAAGATTACCAATAGACATCCTTTGAGTGACTTGATCTTGTAAAATATTATTATGTAACTAAACAATAAGTATTCGGTGTAGTAAAAAGGAGGTATACCTAAACTTATCCCCAAGAATATATATCCAAAAGCAGGTTATGAAAATCATTTATTAGGTTTAGGTATACCTCCTCTGCATTTTTTTAGTCCCCAAAAATGTATATCCAAAAGCAGGGAAAAGTCAAATATATACAAATATATACCCTGAACTTATCCAATCCAATTAGTTATTTATGTTTCATTAGGGGACACTCCTTAGAAAACATAGGTGTGGTGGATTCACTATGGAACTAATTACTTTCTTAGGGAAATTAAACAGACGAATTAGTAGTAATTTTTTCTTTCCGCAACGCGCACGAATAAAGAACTAGCTAACAACAACAACAACAAACCTCGTATAATTCTACAGGTGGGTTCTGGGGAGAGTAGTGTGTATGTAGACCTTACCCCTACCTTGAAGGTAGAAAACTTGTTTCCGATAGACCCCGGCTCAAGGAAAGATTAAAAGAAAGCAGTAGCAACAAGCAATAACAAATCTTCAACTTCAATAAAAAAAACTAAAGATATGTATTCAAAAACTAGCTAGGTATCATTAAATATTTAACGATGTTGCAATTATCATCATATGCAGGTAACTGAATTTAAGTGTGGTGGATTCGTTATGGGACTAACTTTCTGCCACAGTATATGTGATGGATTGGGAGCTGCACAATTTCTAAAAGCAGTAGGGGAATTCGCCAGGGGTGTCGAGAAACTGAGCGCTACACCAGTGTGGTGCAGGGAATATCTTCTCCCAACTCCATCAGCTCAAAAAGGATTAACTGCATCAGATCATGAGACCAAAGACAACTCTTCAATGTCGCCACCCTTCATTATTCCTGTTCCAGATCAACGGCTGGAGCATGCCAGTTTCGACATTCCAATGGATGAGATCAATCAGCTCAAACACAACGTAATGCAAGATCAATTAATGGACCGTCAAAATGCATTTTGTTCCTCTTTTGAAATTATAGCTGCTACTCTGTGGAAACAGCGATCCCGAGCGATTTTAGATCTAACAAACGACGAGATGAATTCCTCCTCCTCTTCGAATTCAAGCTTTATTACTACACATAATGCAGGTCAGGGGTGGAGCTATGGTCGGCTGTTAATATAGATCAAATATTACTTTATACATGCTCTTTCATCCCAATTTATATGATATCCAATTCGAGAGTCAAACTTTTTAAACTTTGGACATAAAATCATTATCTTTTTGAAATAAAATTTACATATTTGAATTAAGATTCAAAATGTTTAAAAGGCATATGAAAAAATTACGGTCAAATAAAAATTTATTTCACTCTCGAAATCCGAATTGCATCAAATAAATCGAGACAGAGGGAATATATAGGTCAAATATTACTTTTTATTCATATAAAATATTAAATGCTGAATACTCTTAGCGAAATTATTGGCTTCACCACTAATGATGCAGGTGATGATGAAGTGAAGCTGGTGTTTTTCGCTAATTGTCGGCAACTGGTGCCGCTACCGGATGGATTCTACGGGAACTGTTTCTTCCCAGTGACAGTAAAGGCATCGAACAAAATTGTGGCACAAGCATCTCTTGCTGAGGTGGTGAAGCTGATCAAAGATGCCAAGGCTAAGCTACCAACAGAATTTTCACAATGGCTTAATAACAAGACCTACAAATCTGTGAATAAGGATCAAAATGGTAATGATCAGTTAAATGATCCATTTGCCCCGGGGCCTGGAGTAGGTTACGACACACTGTTCATTTCAGAATGGGGAAGACTGGGATTTAACGAGGTTGATTATGGATGGGGAAAACCTGTACATGTGATACCAGTACAAGGATCTGCTGTTATACCTGTGGGAATTGTTAGCAAACAACCTCTGCCCCAAAATGGCACTCGGATTATGACCTGGTGCGTCCACGGCCAACATCTCCCTTCCTTTCTTAACATGATGAACAAAGGAAATTGATGATGCTCTAATTAATTTATGTCTCCTGCTATCAAAAGCGTATTAATTAATATGTATGTTTGTGAGAAATAATATGTGATTCTGTTAACTAATTGTCTAATTTGTATTTGTGTGCCTTATCATTCGTTTTCCGCGTACAATTGTATCAAAATTATGACTAAATTTTTTGTCAACATGGTATTATTATAATAGTACATTTGTTATGTTCTAAGAAGAGTACAAAATCCTAACTCGATGGCTTCATCCCTACTCCAAAAAAGCAAAAACCTAACCGAGGATGACAACGCTATTTGAACCATACTACTAAACTCATGCTCTCTTTTCTGCATGCTTCTTACTTCTTTTTTGCATTTTAATTATTTCCATTCTTCTTGTACATTTTTTCAAGAATTCCTCCTTAATAACAAGCTTCGTACCAACATAATCATTCGATTCCCTTAAGAGAGACGAACGATTGTCTTCTTGCATCTCTTACGTTTAAGGGAGTATTGCTAGCTGTTAATTTCAGGCATAGGCTTGACCTGCCAGTTATACCTATTTCTGTTACAACCAGAAAAGGCGCATGATCTTGTAATTACTTCTGAAAAAATTCAGAAATACATCAAATCTACTTTTGATTCTCCATCAACCAATCATGTGAAACTATTAAGACAGAGAGCCAAATCCCCAGCTGTCCTGCAAGGGATTCAATTAGGAAACTGAAGAAAAGGAAAAGAAAAGACAACATAAAGCCATAGAGCTATCAAGAAGAGAATGTTAATGAAACCAATCAACTCGATGGAACGGAAAAGCAAGAACATATCATCCATAGATGATGAGAAACTGGAAATTTAATTAAACTAACGCAAATTATACTTGACATATCAAAATGACACAATCAATCATCATCACTTTCATCACTATAGGAAACCAAACCACCTATTGTAACTGGTTCACGGTTTTCATTATCGGCAATAGGTCCTTTCACGAATCTCTGGGATTCTTCTGTGTCATATTTGGATACATTATGAATATCTGATGAAGGCTGTTTGTTATCATCATTAGACACTTCGATAGCTGTTAAAGAATCACCTGAAGTTTCTGGATCCATCTTTGCTTTCTTTGCTTGTGGCTTGACTTTGATAATCGTTCCCAATGGATTAGGTGGACGACTCTTCCTCCTAATTAATGTCGGTTCCTGCATCAACCAACAATCCAATGAAAACCAAAAGATACCGCGACCAGGGCTGACGCATATACCAAAATAGGGATTTATAAGTTTTATCCTCCATTTTCATTAAGGAAACTAGTAACACGTGACTTGCGTCTTGCCAAATATCGTTTCTTAACGATACTGATATACACCACACAGAATTCAATGCCAATTATTAGCCCAAATTGGTCATGTAACAAGTAGTCCCCTTTCCCTTGTAGAATGGCACAGTTAGAGAGAGTTAAATGATAGAGAAGTCCATTTGTTTATCGTATTAAACATGAACCTATGTCCAAAAGGAGTATGTGAAATACAGAAATATGCAGCAAAACCTACCATTCATCTAAAATTGATAGAAAAAGGCAACTTTAGGAATTTAGGTAAAGCCTCATTAGAAAAGCAAAAATTCCTGTTTGCAGAAGTTGACAGCTTAACGAAGCTTGCTTTAGCACTAAACAAAAACATTTACTCGAGAAAGAGCTGTAAGCACATAATATGTAAACTGAAAACTAGATGCAGGATTAGATACAAGAGAATGTGAAGGAAGAGATGAACAGAAACATGCAACAAGAGTAAAGAGACTGAGACAGGAGCCCCGAGAAGGTGAATCAAATGTAAATCATTGTTACTTCTTGATTTTGACCATTTGAGACAAATCATGAACATAAAAACAAAAGAGAGAAAAGAATGAATAAGAAAAAGAAAATAGAATAACCATGGAGGCCAAAAAAAAAATCAACCAAGTTATAGATGATTGTGGTACCGAAAAGGAGAAGAACAAAGGAGGGGAATTATGGAGTATTAAGAATTTGAAGCACAATTGGACGTTCTCCACCTTTTCTCTTTAGATACGTAATTGGTACAAATCCAGACTCCTTCCTCTGTTGCCTAAGGGGAAAACATAGGAAAGCCCAAAGGTCTAATGGGGCTGTAAGTGCAGAGCGCAATTAAAGCAGGGACTTCAACGAAGAAGGCTAATGAATTTTTTTTTCTTTTAAATATACATGTAATGCATGAAAAAAAAAACACAAACTAAATGATATCAACATTGGATTAACAAAAAACACCACAATTAAGTGAATATAACAAGTAGTACTTTATAATTATACGAAAAAGTGAATATAGAAAGTAAAAAATCACCTCCTTCAAGTTCAAAAACCATTTAAATTTATGATTCAGATGCAAATATGCAGTAACTTTCTAATTAAGATATAGTAACTAGCTTTCTAGTGTAGTAGTAAATCTACAATTTTCTTTTTCTTTTTCTTTTTACCTTGCCAACTCTATCTAGCGATGCTCTACAGAACCCATGGATGACGAGACATGCACTGAAGCACCCTTTAAGCGAAACGAAACGCCAGCCTGACTACCTAGCTTTGTAATTTTTCAACGTTTATCTGAAAGCTTAGTGCCATGAAGTACAGGTATTCATTTTAGAGAGACGTGTATGAAATCATTAAAAAGAGGTAACTTGCCAATATATCTTAGACAAAAAACCAAGAACCATTTTGGTATTAAAGCATCGCACATGTCATATCATTTGACCATATAAAGCCATCTCATATAAATATGCGGCCACACAGCAGAAGTAAAGGCAGACAATTTCCAACATCGGGTGAGATGCTGATAAAGCAGTGGCTAAGAAACAAAAAGCCATGAACACCAAAAATACAGTGCTTTTCTCAAGGCAGATCCAGCTATTGAGACTAACCTGGACTTTCGGAACAGGAGGCATCTCCTTGATTTCCTGTACAATGGTCGACTGTGCAGCAACAGCAGCCTAAAAAACCCAAGAGTAAGATCAGCATTCTTCATAGGCCATAAAGCAAACTTCTAGGCAATGACGTTGAACAATGACACTAAATTACTTGAAAACTTCGCAGCTGCTCAGCTTCTTCATCAGCCACTTGCTTCTCATAATCTCTCCTTGACTAAACAATCAAAGAGTTAGAGCAAAAAGTATCAAACATATGATGGGTGCATAAATATGTCCATGTTATGTTCATACACAGAGGAGACAGACAGACATCAATTTGTACGCATAAGCAAATGCATTGAGCAGAGAAGAGATCAACGAGTTAGAGAGCATCAAAAGGTTATATCTTTTATCTTCTTCTAATGCAAATTAACTCAGCCCAATACCAACTTCTCGAGAACTGGTCATTCCATTGCAAAATAAACAGTGGAGCTCACCGTCCATGTATTATCGCACAAGAACATCAAGAGTACACTAAATAAGGTTTTCCTAAACTGATAAACAAATAAGAGATTGGAATAAATATATTCATATAAGTAAAACCAAATTTCCATATATACTACGGCACATAGAATTGTATAACTACACAACACTACACTAAATGGCAAATGTCATAAAAAGCAACAAAATAAGAAGCTGAAGAAATCCAAACTCCTGCCATGACGATCTTGTTCAAGTCAATCCGGGCTGGGTCATCCAGCATTTCATGCCAATCTGAAAGCTGAGGAACCTCACAAGTTGAACCCCCTACCCACGTAGGGAGGAGGGTCATGCCGCTACACAAAACATATCTTGAAAGCTTGATTAAAAAGGTATATTGAAGCATTAAGAACTAAACTATGCTGGAGCCCTTTCACAAATATATATACTGCTCCATTAGCAGGTATAGACTAATAGAACTGAGAGATTAGACAAAGCACAAATTAACATTTTAATAAAAAATCTAGAGCAACTGTAATATTTATGACATTCCAGCTTGAATAGTTGCATTTAGGCTTCCGAGCAAGAAATACTTTCTAAAAGATTAGGATGCCACATGCTTCAACCTTAATGCAGCGGAGGTGTTAAGTGCATAATAATAAACTAAAATCATCACCAACTCCATGATATGCCTAAAAGCTCAACGCGCACCTAATGTACTTACTGTGAGCATCTTCTACACTAGGATACAGTAAACATGACAGGATATACGCTACTACTACAACAGAAATTACACCTTAATACCGAACTAGTTGTGTTCGTCTATATGAATCATCCATATTCACCCATCCCATTTTGGACTTGTTTCATTCGAATACTCAATAATTTGTAATTTAAGACAGCTTAGGGTCCTTATCACTAGATTTCCTGAACAATTCATGTTGACATTCAAATTTCTAAACAAACTAAAAAGACTTCGAGTAAACACTGGACTTTAGGTATGTGTACCGACAAAACCAGGCTTTAATCCTATCTATTAATATCACCTATAAGAACCTTTTACCTCTGTCATGTTTTGTTCTTCATTAAGTTCGCATGGATTCCAAGAGATTCTACATCTTTAAGGACAATTTTCCTCCATGTGATTTCAGGTTCACCTCGTTCCCTTTTAACATATGTAATCATGATAGCATCACAAATAAGGACGGGTGCATTTTGCAGCTCTAGAACATGGCTATGCACTTTTCAGCAAGCTAGTTGTAATGACTCATATTTAAGTTAGGGTATGTTGGTCTTTTAACATAACTAAAAAAGAAAAAAAAAAAAAGGAAAACCTAATCAGTTAATAAAAGGGGCAAAAGCCCATTGAACGAAAAGAAAAAAAAGGGGGATTTGGGGGAAGGGAAAGCAAGGCTAAGCTGCTGCAACAGAAGCTATAGTAGTAGAAGAAGAATAAGAGTATATAAATTTAATAATTTGAGTTATATAGTGAGATAACTGAGATTGACTAATATAATTAGAAGCAAGAAAAGATTAAGTAATGCTTCTCTTAACTCATAGCACTTTGTGAAAGAATCATGAGTGCCTGAAGAACACTTGGTAACGATGATTTTTTTTTTTTGAATCAATTCAAATTCATAATGCCTTTGTATGTAGTAGTATGAATTAAATATCGGAACAGACATAGAAACAAAGGCAATTTGTTGAAGGCATTTTTTTTAATTCAAAGGATAAACTTTCTTACTTCAGTTGCTTAAGATTATCATCTGGGTGTATATAATTTTGTTAGGTACGAAAGAAAGTATTGTCGATAGTGATCCTATATTCCTATATGATTTAGATCTGTACACATAGTTGGCATAATTTGGGTAAAAGAAAATTGAAGAATAAATATACGAGAAAGTTGAAATTGATACATTATAGACTAGTTGAATTACTCATAGCATGGATAAATATAACTCAGCGAATTGATGGTAGAATATAAAACTCTGAGGATTTGGAATCTAAATTTAGCTAAAATTAACTTAAACAAAGAAATTAACACGAGATCGATATTGATGTGACTATATATTGATTGAAGAAAGTCGTACAGATCGCTCGTGGCGACGAGTTTGGTATTTCGACACGAGTACGGTGAGTAGTAATCTTACCGCAATTTGTATTTACATAACCTGCATGGCTTATACCTTATTTTTGAAAATAAAATGTGTTACCAAACATTTGAAATTGCATGTGGGACATGTCCTACTTGATATGGTACTGAATAGTTTACTTGAGAGGTTCAGTTATTTAAAATGTTCTCACTGTTACTAAACATATTTTACTGTTACTTGAGATATGATTATTGTTACCGAAATTGGATTACATGATTTGATAAGAAATTAAATGCCCTATACTATTTTAAAATGCTTTCATGTGAATATTTATTGTTTACAAAGAAAAGTATAAATGGGAGGAGACTTTGAAGGATCCCATAGCTAACGGCGGGTTCGTTAGACCTGGTTCACCTTGTATTTACAGATTACTAATTACAATTATAGCCCTCGCTAGTGGGAAGGTAACTAGCATACAATTATAGTTTTTCCCTCGAGTAGGGACCTACAGTTATATTTGACTCCTTTTACAAAGGGGTCCACATAGTAATACAGATTACATGATCCTTTCTTGGAAACCTCCCAAACATAAAGATTTGCTATGACATAGTATTTACCGAGTTTATTACTGATTTGTTATATTGATTTCTGTTACAGGGAATCCATGAATAGACTGATTATATTTATGGATTTGAGAGGGCATTTTATTTTTATGATAGTTCTGATTATTATTATACAAGTGTTATTACTCACTGGGCTAGCGACTCACTCCCGGCTATTTTTTTTTTTACAGAGACAACAGTTGAAGCAGGCGAGGAATTCATAAATTAGAGCGCACAGGTTGAAAGTTCTTGGTGAGGTTTGCGTGGGCGAATTTGCTATAGTCTTTTCTTTTGAACTCTTAGAGTTGCTCCATCGTTATCTTATTAGTGTCGTGAGTATTCATTTGTTAATATGGCCAAGTTACTAGTATTACACTTTCTTTCCATATTTATAGAGTTGGCTTTGGTTTCATTATGTTGAAAATGTTGATAATATTGGTGGAAACCCATTTGTGGTTAGTTGATGAAGATTGTGACTGATTTAGGTGAATACTGATTGGTTGTTATTTGTTTAGGAGACATGAAATTTTTGGATAGTCCAAAAACAGGGGAAACTGTGTTTGTTTTTCTGTAAATTACCTATCAGGCTTACTTGGGAGCACTTGCTCCTAAGCGCCAGTCACGATCCTAAATTGGGTCGTGACACTAGTCCACCCTAGACTACAAGCATGAATGCTATACATCTCAAGCAAACTTGTCTTGTTTTATCCTCTTAAGTAGTTCTTGTATCTTCTGTCGGATGAAAGTATTTCTAATTTTGTATGACCCGCACATCCCTTGTAACATCCATATATACTACTACAATCAACGAATTATAAATCATGAATCATTATGCATAAAATAATTGTAAGTTTAAACTCCGCGATCAGAGGGTTTGTCGCTTGGAAGAGAACTACAAGGAACCTTAAGTTGAGATATGAAGCTGAATTTTGAGATAGTTATTCACTAAGCTCCCACTGCTCATATAAGCATCAAATCTCAAATTAGATGAGTCAAAAGATAGAATGTTCCCCATCAAATGTGAAGAAATGACGGCAAAGACTAAGCATAAGTAGCTTAAATAATGTGGACAGGACATCATGGCAATGACAAATCATGAATAGATTATCTATTAGTTGTATCTCAAACAAACATAAAGACCTTAAGCAACATCTAACCATTTCAAGCTTATCAAGGAACTCGGTCTCGTCATCATCCAAGGCTTTAGGTGGTCCTACAAGAACATTAAAGATTTACATTTCCAAGCAATTGTAAATTAATAGCCCAAGCACCAAAATGAGTAACCCACAAGAAACAAAAAAGGAAAAGGGTCCTTAATTACTCACGGTGTTTAAATCGCTCATTAAATTCAGCATCTTTCCTGTCCTTGTTTTCCTTCAAAATCTGCAGTTCCAATGAAAATATAACTCAAGCTGGAGTTTGATATTTGAAGCACATATATACCAGAGAGCATAAACATATGGACCACAGCTACCTTAACACAAAAGATTGAAACTGGGAACAATAATCAATGAAAGGAAAAATAATGTCACTTAGCATAATGGGAGGTACCAATTTCCAAAATTATTGCTTTGACAACACAATTCCAGTAATGTTCTACTGAATTCCCTTGGTCTAAAAATTATATTGTCGTGTAAAATAAAAAATAAAAAAGATTTGATCATATATGAACTGTCGGATCCCCTTGACATAAGGGAAATTTTTAGTGTAGTGATAAAGTGGGTTCAAAAAGTTGCTTCAGCTCACAAGTTTGAATTCTAACAATGAGATTTTAATATCTTTTCGAATTCCTTTATAAAAATTTCTGGTTGCGCCACCGGTTGATACTAGTATATCTGATACAGGTGTTTGTAAGTATCCTAAAGGTACATGCACATTGTTGCCAATCTTTATAGTGTATTTTGAAGAATTTATACAAACCGCCAAGTAACAAGATGGGAAGGAGATAGAGCAAAAATAAGTGACAAACAGAAGGGAGTTTATTGAGTTTTGTCGGACCTCATAAAGTGGGCGATCTCTCTGAGCAGTTCCGTCCTCGACCCGAGCACCCCGAGTTCTCTTGGCTTCTTCCAACTACGAAAAAACGGACGTTCGAAGCAAACAACTAATGGCGGAAGAAACGCGTGTGAAGAGAGGAAATGGGAGCAAGGGTTTACGGTTTACCTGTTCTTCGGAGACAAAACTCATCAACCTTATAGCAGGTGGTAAATCTTCGTCCGCCATTGTCAAGTTCAGTTGTCGCACTACAGAGTTACACCGCCAAGTTGGATTATCTGAGCTGCTTCCCCTTTTCAGGTAACTGTGTTTTCTCCCCTTTCTTTTCCAATTTCAATCCCTAATTCTCTTCCCAATATTCTCAATCACTAAATTGATACAAAAGGAATCAATAATTGTGTCATCGAAAAGTTACTATGTGTTGTATTTGTATTTTTTAGAAATAATTTAATTTTAATCTTCCTATTTTGTTCTTAATGAAATTTAAACTCACATATAAATTTCTATAAGATCCGAAGGTATTTTTTTTTTTTTTTTTTTAAAGATTTGTGCCGAGTCAAAGCTTAAGAAAATGACACGGCGAAGTATATTTTTTATTCTATTAAGAAACTAAACTCAAAGTAACAATATGAAATAAGTAAAGACAAGAGATATAAACAGAAAGAGATTAGAGATTCTTATTTCTTTCATCCATGTATTTTCAAAGTGTATACAATGTGATGCCCAAATCCTCTATTTATAGAATGATATAGGTAATACAAAGGGATGCCATGAACATGGTATTAACTATTGAGAATATGGGGGAAGATCATGGAGGTGTGGGAGTTACATCCAAAATGGTAAGAAGTAGTGGGAGGTTAATGGAGAAGAGTAGTGGGTGTTACTCCCTTAGGAATTATGGACATGCACCATAATCAAGTATTTCATAACACTCCCCCTTGGATGTCCAAAGATAATGTGCCTTGTTAAAACCTTACTAGGAAAAAACTCTGTGGGAAAAAATTCTAGTGAAGAAAAAAGAGTACACATATCTTGTAATACGCATAACTTGTTGCCTCATTAAAAACCTTGCCAGGAAAATCCAATGGAATAAAACCTTAGCTAAGGGAAAAAGAGTACAACACATATTTGCCTCCCCCTGATGAAAATATCACTTTATTTCTAGGAGACGACGAATTCCAAGCTTGTATAACAAATTCTCTAATACTAAGATCGTTAATGCCTTGGTGAATTATTCCGCCAAATTATCACTTGAACGAATTTCTTGAACATCTATTTCATCATTCTGTTGAAGATCGTCTCTGCAAAGAAACTTTGGCTAAATGTGCTTTATTTTGTCTTCTTCAATATATCGTTCTTTCCATTGAGCTATGCAAGCATCACCGTCTTCAATATTATTGGTATCTTCTCTTCAAAAAAATCACACGTCTCATTCGTGTTGAGTCACTTAATTTATAAGATGTTAGTATCTTGGTATGAAGAACGAACTTCATGTAATGCCCCGCATTTACATAACCAACAAAATTTTGACAATATTTGTTAGAATAAACAAATCTATCAATGATTCTCTTGTAATATATTACTAATTACATTCCAGTGTCTCCATATCGAATTAAAGTTAAATCTTGCTAGTATAAAGTTATACTCAAGATTCTAGCAAGAAACATAAGTGCACCTAGTGCACTAAGACACAAAAATAAATCATATATGTCATACGTGGATGGCTGAAGCTTTATTTAACAAAATTTTCGAGAACCCCTATATGCTTCAGAACAGTTTAAATCCATCAAGGATTTTCATTATACGCATATCAAAATTTTCATGTATTGCCATATTAAAACCTGAAAATAATTTCATCCACCACAGGAGAACCTGTCTCCATATACGTAATGCCAGGATATTTACGACAAATCGTGTGCCACAAGTCGTCTTTATGTCTATCGACTTGATTTTTCATTTCACTTTTTGCACAATGGACTATCCGTCCAATTTCATATTTTTCTTGTGAAGTGAATTTTTATTGCGTATTTTTTCATTTGACCAATCATTTATCTGTCTAAATTCCATGACAGATTTGAGCTCAAGATCATTGTCAATATTAATAATATTGAGCGCTACATTATATCAACAATATCGTTAATGATCATTTTACATCGGTTCCATCATCACATAATAAAGACATAACTTATCGAGATCTCATTATTTTTAGGTACTTGAGCCTCTTCCATGAGATCTTATAGAGTGTTATGTCGTGGTGCTTTTCTAGAGCACTTGCCTCTTTATAGTGACCATCTTGATCATTTGCTCCACTCCTTTTCCAAGGAGTTTTATCTTTGGAACCAACATGTCATAGACTCTGTCCATCATAGACTTTATTTTTGTTGGAGAATTAGCAGCTGAAATATGAAATTTGGCTTTTGGTCAGCAGATGCCTCTGACAATATTTTGCAAATGAATTATCACTTGAACTTCAAGTTCACATTTTCTTGTACGAGGATCTAGATTTACTCATAATAATTCATTCCACGTATCACTTTTTCAGCTGCCCATTTTCTCCCCTAATCACCAACACATTTTCCAACCTTATTTAGGAACACATCTTTGTGCATTGTGGTGGGATAATTAAATCATATCGCACATCCATATTTCTAGATGGAAGTTTTTTGGTTCCTGACCTACCAATTGTGACAGGGAGGATTTTTCATAACTTGTTGGCTAGATGCGTACAAGTGCTGTTGTATATTAAATAATACACCTCATACCAAGGAAAGACAAGAGATATAGAGAGAAAGAGAGGAGAGATTTTTATTTCTTCCATCCATGTATTTTCCAAGTGTGTACAATGTGATGCTCAAACGCTCTTTTATAGGATGATATAGGCGATACAAAGGGATGCGATGAACATGGTATTAACTATTGAGAACATGGGGGAAGATCATGGAGGTGTGAGAGTTACATCCATAATCGTAAGAAGTAGTGGGAGGTAAATGGAGAAGAGCAGTGGGTGTTACTCCCTTAAAGTTTATGGACATCCAACGTTATCAAGTATTTCATAACACATTCCACTTTTTACCATCCAATGTACTTTTATTTAGCTAAAAACAACTAGAACTGGGAAAATATATTTGGATAAATTTTAGAATAAATGTCTTCCATGCTCACTAACAATTTGAACAGAACAACGTACTCTTAAAAAGATCTCATGTCGTGATTTATTTATATTTTTGGTATTGACCTTCTATATACAACAATAACAATAACAACCCATAGGAATCTCATAAGTGAGAGTGCAAACCTTATCTCACTCCGAAGGAGTAGAGATATTGACCTTTTAACTATGGCTTTTAATATATTTAATTCTCAAAAGTATATTTTATCCGGATAGGATTATTGAATGCCCTTCTTCTTTCTTTTGATTTTCTATTAATTCAGAGTCAAATCGCATAAGTTCTAACCCTCTCTTTTTTCACTGCCTAAGAGAAAGAGCAAACAAAGTAATGAAAATAGCAAAAGAAGACCGAAAAGCTCTTGAGCTTTAGGGCGTGTTTGGTATGAAGAAAAATATTTTCTATTTTTCTTATGTTTGGTTGGTTTAAATGTTTTGAAAAACATTTTTTTCATGAACTTATTTTCCAAAACTCTTTTTAACCTTCCCCATCCTATTTTTCATTCCCACCAATCCACCCCCACCCTACCCCACCTACCACCCATCCACCCCACCTCTGCCCCAGACCCACCCTCGCCTCCCACCCCCCACCCTAAATAGAAAATATTAATATTATTTAATGGTGCTTTCTTTTCATGTTATAGATAGAGTTTTTTTTCATTTCGACAAATGAATATTTTTCTTTTCATGATATTAAAAAGTATTTTTTTTCCTTTCAACAAAATGATGTAGTAAAAAGCATTTTCTTTCATTTCAACAATTTTTTTTTTTATGATGTAGAGAAAGTGTTTTCTTTCATTTCAACAAAAAATGTATTTTTTTCATGATGTAGAAATTCTTTTTTAACAAAAAAAAAGAGGATGTTCTTTTTAGTTATGGAGCACAAATTGCAACGTTATTTTTGGGTGGAAAAGTAATGCAACATATTAGTTCCTTTGGGTTTGTGTGAATTTTTGGTTTGGTATTGGAAAAATAGCGCGACCATAATTGGTTTGGTTTGGTTTTAACTAAAGAAAGTAAAACCTAAACCAAACAAACTCGACATCACATATATAGAAATTTTAGATATATTTAATATATAAATATACTTATTGTGATGTAATTTATAAATATTTCTTAAACTTTTTCATAATTTTATCTTTTAAGGTATTATTTCAAGGTTGGACTTAGAACTTTTGAATGTTCCAATAAGTTTTATAGCCATTAATATTAGTAACTTAAATAATGCTAACAAAAGCCCAAACCAAAATCAAATCAATACTACTGCTAACAAAAGACATTCAATTCAATATTACGAACGACAATGTATTGAATTCCTATTTTTTGTTTTGCAATAATTTAGATAAAAATGCATAACATATTTTTATTTTTTCTTTAGCGCTTAGTCATGTAATTAATACTCCCTTATAAGTCTACTTATTTTAGCATAACTTAGTACTTTTAGATTATATTTATTTTTATTATGATATTTTAATTAGCAATATTTATATTACATAATTCTATTGTACTTAGTTGAATATTTTAGGACAATGCCATGACACATCTCATATTTTGCATTATTTTCTTGAAAAATACCGTATATATTTGTATCTTACTAGGATTAAAGAAATATTTTGAGCACAAGTTATATGTTTTGTGCTACGAAGATTTTACGCGAAAAAACCCAAATAACCCAAAACCCGAGATTGAAAAACCCGAGTTTCATTGGTTTGATTTGGCCTTTAGATTTAATAACCCGATACAATTGATTTGGTTTGGTAATTACAAAATCCGAACCAACCCGACCGATGTACACCCCTATTCAGGACAATAGACTTGTAATTTTTGAATTTTCTCTGAAACTCTCTAGTCAGCTCGACAATATTTCAATATATACTTACGATTTGAGGCATCTCAAAATTCTCTGTTCGGCTAAAGTGAGCAATATAATGTGAATAAAATAAATTGAAAAAAAAAAATCAACATAAAATGTCGCAAAATGACAAGAAAATGGAATAAAATATTTCCTTCCTCCTTTACCGTCTTTTCGTGATTATATCTTTAGCTACAGTATTTACTTTGTTTCTTCACTGTTGAGTCAATGGTGAGAACTAAGTGGTGTTGAACAATACTAAACATGGTAATTTTATAAGGGCTATACCAAATGATTTTATTGATATACGTAAGAAGGGGTAAAGAGCAAAGAAGTCTAGAACTCAATCTTTTACTTGAACCAACCAGACCTCTCCGTCACTTTCCTAGTTGTCAAAAGAAGATTAACCGTAGATAAAGTATAGGGTTATAGTGCCTCCTTCTGCATCTAGTTTCTTCGTTTAGTTGATAACAAGTGAAAGAGCGAAAGTACTACTCAAAAGTGTGACATATTGGTCAACAAAATGGCACATATTCTAAAAGCAGAGACACAAAAAACATAAAGCAATTTCTTCTCCCTCGACTAAGCCTAGAGGGCAAAGTAATCGGCATTTATACTAGTAGAAGATAGCATGTATTCAGTGGACCAATTGAAGTGTGAGCAAACATACCCAAACATCACCGTTATACCCGTCCAACAACAACAGACCCAGCGGGATCCCACAAGTGGGGTCTGGGGAGGGTAATGTACGCAGACCTTACCCCTATCCTGGGAGGTAGAAAGGCTGTTTCCTAAAGACCCTCGACTCGAGAGGAAGGACCAAACATCACCATTATAGCGACAAAGCACAGCCCAAGTTGCTGCTTTTAAGTTTTAACTGATACGCAGAGGACACTAAAAGATATTAGTTGTTCATTGGGAGATCTGTGTTGTTCTATTTGAGGACTTGATTCCTAAGATTACCAGATGAGTGCTGATCGCTAAACAATCCCCTTTACAATACTAATATTAGGCTAACGTGGAATCAGTTTTAACAAATGTTTGATCCTCGAACTCAGGTTCCCCCAGTGAAGTCAGAGACAGAAATACAACCTAATGTAGATGAATATTGGCAAGTAAGTACTTAATCCCTCCACTTGCCAAGTATAGTAGCCTCGATCCCACAATACTGAACAAGATGTGACTTGGTCTAAGCAGTTAGGACAATATTGATAGAAAACACACGCCACTTGATCAAAGTACTAACATATTACACACAATACAGAAGGTGACAAGCACGAAGTTTTACTAAATTGTGAAGAATAGCATAGCAAGGAGCTAACCAATTAGGATGACTGGCACAACAAACTAAGATTAACAGCACATCATTGGGGGGAACTAATGAGATTCAAAAGAATTACAGCGTCCCAGTTGTTTGTCTGAGACTACCATCCAGGAGTAGCATAACAGGCTCACAAGCGACAAGATAATGTTTTATTTTCTAATTATCAAGTGCAACTAGAAAAGCATCTAACTACTTACCAGCAGAACTAATAGTGTGTTCTTTTTGGAGGCCATATAATGCCAATGCTGAAAATCTCCAGACACCAGAAAGAAGGAAAAGATCTCGACTCCACATGATTTGGCAGCCAGCGGAACAATGCCATCTTGGCATAACTTGCATATTATCAAAAGCAACATGACCTTATCTACGAATTCCTTATCAATCTCAGAGAACAGCCAATGGTGGAGGAGTCCAGATTCATTCTCTTGAATAATGTGCAGGCAAAGCAAGGAGATAACAGTAACAACTATAGCATATTCACAAAAAGAAGAAAGAAAAAAGGTATATATGTACATGGGCATCTTCGTCTAACATAAGACACAGGGAATTAACTGGAGAAAATAGCCTACTATCACAACAATAAATTACAGTCACGTAGCGAAAATCGGCACTTGATCTTAGATTCAATAACATTTCACGATGTAACCAGAGAGGCGCAAAATTATCTGCAGATCAGTACATAGGCACGTGTTATTTGCAAAACCTTGCTTTTTACTACATTAGAATCCAAGGTTCTCTTGCACTCGATCTGATCTTATACTTTATTGCGTATCACAATATGAAAAAAAAAAGGGGGTGTCCTAGATGTTCTAATAACTTAAATGCAGATCAGAAATGGCACATGTTATTTGTGAAACCTTGTACATTTAGAATTATGGATTCTCAAGTTATTTTGCAGGTGTTGTATATGAGAAGTTCTATATAACCTATAAGCAGATCAGTACAATGGGCACATCTTATTTTGTGAAACATAGTTTTTCTAGAAATATGGATTCTTACATTATTCTGAAAAACCTTCCACTTTCTATTTGTTTTGGTTTTTTAAAGTGCTAAAAGATTTCAAAAAATCAGGACCAGAAAATGCGAACAGATTATACCAAATGGACATTTTTTTATAAGGTAACCAAATGGACATCTACTAGCTCCTACTGAGCTCCTTGGTAAAGAACATCCATTCCTTTCCTTTTCTTATCCTTTCTTTGTCTGTCACCTGTTCTTGATTTGTGTATTATTAAATAAATGGGTTCATTCAGCAGTTAAAAACAAGGACTAATGCAGCAAACTGATACAGACAAAATAAGATAAGAACCAAGTTCCAATATCTCGGTGGCAGAGACTCTTAAGAAGTTCTCCAGGGACAAACATAAAAGTCGCCATCAAGGCTTTGGTCTGGTGATAAGAATGCAATTCATGATATGTGAGTTAGGTGCACGTCATGGGTTCAAACTCAAGCCGTAGACAAACTGTGCACCACTGCCTCTCGGGGATTTCTCAGTCATCAAAAATATAAACATAAAAGTCAAAAAAGCACATACAAGCTCTGTTCAGAGTCCACCCACACAGACCTATAATTTGCTTCTCAAAGTGCATCAGTTGAGTACTGCTCAATCTGAACACTGCTTTGACTAAACCATTCGTGGCCTCCTGCTAGCATCCTTTCATATGACAGATATGATAGATAACCCTTGGTAAAGATGTAGGTATGTGTTTATTATTTAAGTAAATTCTAGAGAAGGCATAACAATGTCAAGCTATCCCTGCAAGGGGGGGCTCACTACTGCTTTAGCCTTTAGTAGCCACCTTCCTACTTGCCCATACAATATTACCATAAGAAAGACAAAGGCCAAAAAGACTTTCTTTACATTTCAAAGACTAATTTGGCATGGGATGTGAAACAAAGAGATTAATAACAAATAAGAAACCAAAACTCAAGCAACACTAAACAAAAGAGAGAGAGAGAGAGAGAGAGAGAGAGAGAGAGAGAGAGAGAGAGAGAGAGAGAGAGAGAAGAGAGATAAATTAAGACCCCAAACAGTCGTTTAAAAGAAGATATATGAGCTACTAGAGAAAGATAAAGATTTCCACTAAGTATTCCTTCTTTAAAGATTGCAAACATAAAGACATAGCAGGAAAAGAGCAGTAAATAAGATCACTGCCTTTGAAGAATTAAAAGAAAAATGGGAAGGAAGAAAACTATTTCCAACAAGAACTCTAATCTCTATATCCTTCCACTTTTATCCAGTGTCCTCGAAGGGATAACAATGACTCTGATTTCTACCCACATCTTCAATGATTTATTCTGGTGCTTCATTTCCCTGACTAAGGAGAAAATGTCTGTTCTTCAGGTCTGTTTGGTTTTCTCCAACCAAAGTGACAATCTGTCTGCATCCTCTACTTGACTATCCGAGACGCATACTAAAGTTGGATAGTTTGACATCAATCTATACTTGAAAGGGTGGCAAAACGGTTGGTTGGATCAAACTGTTCATGAAAAAAGGAGGCGCACAAACAAAACCCATTTCACTGGGCATAAAATTGACTGGTTCCATTTCCCTTCTTCCACATAGATCGCTTCTTCTCTATTGCTTAAATAGCACTATTAATTAGCACTCCTTGCTCATTCAATCATTAAGAATACCTGAATCCTCAATTTTCTGGGTATGTTAAGAACATCATGTAACACTTCTAGTTGAATTTACAGAGGAGACTGGTTACATGTAATTGGTGAAGCTTGACGATAGTAATCATTATTTGTCCCTACAAAGCAATGTGGATGCCCAGTTATGAAACAAGTTTTTGAACTTTTTGGTTTCGTTGAACAATATCTAACATGGTGAAAGGTACTCTTCTTCATCATATGGTAAACCCCACTATTGGCATGAAATGTCCAAATGGAGAGAAACATATGGTGAGCATTAATATAGTCGACCCCAACTAGCTTGAAATTGAGGTGTGGAGTCAATACCTTTCCCACTTTGCTCCCTTGGAGGCTCAAACCCCTTACCTCTAGGTTGGAAATGTAATTCTCTTTCCACTGAAGCAACCTCACTTGTCACAGTGAAAGGTATTGGATTGAACCTGAATAGCTAGAGAAATGGATATAGAAAAGACTCTTCCAGCATGTACATTGGGGGTGGTGTGGATAGAAGGGAATCATAGGATATTTTTTAATAAAAGTAGAAGCTATCATTGGACTACTACAGAAGTGTATTTTTCCACTAGTTTTCTGGAGTATCTTGAAAAATGTATATGATATAGGTATTTCAGTGGAGTTCCTCATGTCCCTAAATGACTAAAGAGAGACTAATGCTTGTAATCTTCTGTACATTTCCAGCACTTTCATGGTGCTTTTTATGAGGATAAAGTCTTACACCACTTATCAAAAGAAACATACTTAGAACAAGAGAGGCAAAAATCTTCAGGTGGAAGAATTGCCAGTTAGGGGCTGATTAAAGGATGAAAATGATTTAAAGTAGATGGACCTAAAGGAAGGGAGTTTAGAGCTAAGTTGCTCGGACTCGGTATAGGTGTCCGATACGGGTGCAGATCTAGAGGTCGGATCCTTCATGACCTAAATTTTAAGAATCGAGGATACGGATCTAGGTACGGATATCGTGCATGGATTCGGCTAAAATATCTAAAATTAAAGTTATAAAAATATGTCTTTCTAAGACATTATGTGAGAAACATACGAGATAGTCTGAGAAGGAGAAGATATTGATCAAAAGGAGAATCCGAGAAGGAGATAAAAGGAAAAGGACTAACATAGATATTTCTATATACAAGGTATTCCATTTATTCTATTTCACCCTAGCTTTTGTTTTGATTTCAGAAACTATTGTATCTATCCCGAATTTCTCAGGCGATTTTGGTCGAAATACCTAAAATAGGATCCCACACCCACACTCACGTCGTGCCGATACAGGTGCGGCACCAAAAGTGAAGAGTCCGAACAGCCTAGGTTTAGAGCCCCACGGAGAGTGACTAATTAGGAGAGAAGAAAGCATCTAGGAAATCTAGGCACCAAAAAGAAGCGATAAAGTCTTCAGGGTAACATAGAAATACAATCATAATTCTAACTCCAAACTGAAACAATAATAGGCATTTATTAGCTTACAATCTTCTCGTACAAGGATTATTCTCGATAACAGGAAAACATCTACAATTTGTTTTTCCAGAGAACAAAACTTGAACCAAACTAGAGAAACAACCTATCAAGGAACTCTCTGCAGAATTCCTGCAAAATAGAAAACAAAGAAGAATAAACAAGATTACCTCCTTAGCTTTCATGGTAGAAACTGACCAAATATCTAATAAACTAAAAGCAGGTTATACAACTGAAAATAAACATGAAACAAAGATGCTTCATGCCTGGCTATGTTGTGCGGACCCACCAAAATGTAGCCGCACCCGTGTCAGATCCTTCAAAAATGCACTACTTTTGGAGGATCCGACGTATCCGGCCACATTTTCGGAGAGTCCAAGCAACATAGATGCCTGGCTATATGAACTAAAGATTTCATCCTTTTCTTTAATTTGAATTTTGCATGGAAACACTTTGTTCAGAAAGTATCTTCTTGTTTTATTTTATGAAGATGTTGCCAACAGGGTTAACAAGCCATTCTCTCAAACAATGTGTGACATTCTACTACCCGTACACCCAGCGCTTAACATCTAAAGCATGGACTATATGACATGAGGCTCAGCATGGGATAAATCAATAATAGGCGCCTACTTTGATACCATGCCAAAGACCTAATTCAACCTCAAAAGCTAGCTCATGAGGTGAGGATTGTCCATTTCTATATAAGGAGACAACAGCTCATTTATGTATAAACACTCGGGAGAGGACGTGGATCATCTCTTACTACATTGCTCGATAGCATTGCTCCTGTGGTGGGAATTTTTAAGCTTGTTTGTGATACAATGGACCAGTCCACGTACTATGGAGATCTGAAGGATGCAATATTTAGTTGGATCTTTAGAGGACGGAAGAAAAGATGTGGGGCATATGATATTACTTCATTAGCACTAATACAGATAATATATGGAGGAATAGAAGAGCTTGGTTTTTGTAGCTGTAAGAATAGCCTCCTGCTTCCAAGTCTTTTTGGTGCACCCATGCTAACCCTATTGATACAGAAGATTGGGTGTTTTTGTAAAGAATCACACATCTATGTAGATTCTCTATTTTTTGGTATACCTCTTGTATACCGGAGTCTGCTCGATCTCAAGAAAACTACACTGGATCAAATAAACGGACACAACAGCCCATTCCTCACAACCAATGTGGTACTTTAAAAGAGCAAGCACTAAGGAGACAACAGCCTAGTTTGTTTACATTTCCAGTCAAATCTCCATGCAAGATATCATTGAAATATAGAAACAAGAAGCTGTCTTCATTTGCTTATCACCAAATAGCTCCATCATTATAAACACTGCCTTATTTAAGTGAGTAGAAAAGAAATATGACACAATGCACATGGATATAAACTGAAGTACAGCACAATAAACTCGTGAGATATCTGACTGTGATGAAGTATATATATATATATATATATATATATATATATATATATATATGTGACTGCATTTAAATTAACGATCATGTGCTGAAGAAAAAAATTGTACAAGCTCAATGATACCTCTTATACTGGGCTAAGCATCTTACAAGTAACTCCATCGTGCACAAGCTGAAGAATAGCATCCTTCAACTTTAGATAGTCATCAACTGTATTGTAAACCTGATGAGAAATCCGAACATATCCTGTAACACAGCCATCACCATCCTGGAAGTCTTTTATTTCCTGGTAGTGAATTGGGACTTCTATCCCAAAATGGCCGCGCAGACGAGTTCTCAAATTTAAAGCATCAATATCACTGAGAATCCCAAGGCTAGCAGGCAAACCAACCATTGCCATACTTGGACACATGTCAGGAGGGCAACCAAGCGCTGTTCCCCACGCAGTGGCCAACATTTGCCCCATTTCAACCACAGCATTATGATTCCTCATCCTAATTCCCTCAATCCCACCCTCAAACCTATTTATAAATTCTAACACCTCAGGTATAACTAGCTGCGAGCTGTAGTCTCGCGTCCCTATCCATGCACTTTCAATGGCTAGTCCATTACCATATTCATGTGACACCACAGGATGATGTAGATCAGGGGATACAGGCGATTTACGACAGTACAAAAAGGCAACTGATGGAGGGCAAAAGAACCACTTGTGCAAGTTGCTTACATAAAAATCAGCTCCAATTTCTTCAACATCCACGTGAACATTGCCAATGGCGTGGGCAGCATCGACAAACACCCGCTCTACGCCTTCTTCCCTACAAATCTTAACCAAATCACGCACAGGAACAACAACACACGGCATTGATGTAATGTGATCAATGATGGCCAATCGAACCTTTTTCCCATTGGCTTTTCCCTTGGCCAATGCTTTTCGAAACTCGGCAACAATCTCTTCTTCCGAACGAAGAGGAAACGGCAAATGAACAACGATCACAGAACCACCAGCACGGGTGACGTAAGCCTCAATTGATTTCTTAACGGCCTGAAAAGCGCAATGGAGCATGACGACGGCGTCTCCTTTCTGGAAACGGCCTTCAGCGAAGGCCCAGCCGACGTGTTGAAGGACGATAGCGGCGGCAGTGGTGGCGTTATCAACAAGAGACACCTCATCCACGTGTTCAGCATTTATAAGGTCCTTGATAATCGTCCGAGAGTGAAGAATCCGCTTTTGTAAATAATTGAAGAAGAAGTCGTCGGGTTGCTGGAGAAAACGGAGCTGCCAACGCTTTTGAGCTGCAATGATGGACGACGGACAGCTACCGAAGCTGCCGTTGTTGATACGAGCTATTCCCGATTGGTGGTGGGCGAACTCTGCTCGTATTTCGGAGTCCGTAATGAGAGCGGAGCTGGATAGCTTGGGTCTCTTGGCTAAATGGTTGTGATCGGAGCCGTTAGCTCTGTGGTCATCGTCGTTAGTCGGTTCCATTAGAATCAATCAACAGGTTTGGGGTTGAGAATGAGGGTTAGGGTTAGGGTTAGGGTTTTGGCTTCCCGAAAGAGACGAGCGATAGGATATGGAGGTACCTCACTGCTACATTTCAAAATGTTCTCTTATTTTAGAGGATAGAGACGTCGCCTTTTGGCAACACAGTAATGCCGCAATTTTTCCAAGAGAAATGAAAACAACAATTCAGCAATTTTTACTTTTTCTTGTTTTTAGTTTTTACCAATATCTGCATCATATTTTAGACTTAAATTTCAACTAAATTGGAAAGAGGCTAATATGTGATGAGCCTGTTCAAAAGGGGCAATAAACATAGACGCAATTTCGGTATATCTTCCATCGATCTTGTTTAGGTGACTTTTGGCTTCATTTATTTCATGTTTTTTCTATATTTTGAGTGTGTAGTCATATTTACCAAAAAAAGAAGATAATAAATTCGAAATACTAGCATTGCATACAAGCGGGGCAGATGCAGCTTTTTTAACCGAACTCATAACTATACGGAGTATAAATTTATGTGTAAAAACTTACTAAAATTTCAACAAATATTAGGTTTGAATCCATAATTTTAATAGTACAATTTATTTAATACTAAAAAATTTAAAAGTTGAACTCATAAATTTTATATCCCACTCCGCCTCTACATACAAACTTAAGTTTGAAATATGTTATCAGTCTTTATTTACTTTAGTTTTCTATCAGTGTGTGACAAAACAAAAAAGAAATTGAAGTTGGAGACAAAAGGATCGGGTAATGACCTCTCTCGAAGACTTCATTTACGCCATCTCACAACTAGTTTACTGTGACCACTGCTTACTCCACAAATCTCACTTTTTGTAATGACTCGTCTTCGAGTTATCCTTTCCTTTTAGACTTTTGCAAAATGATGTAATTGTACCAACTGAACTTCCTGTATAGGGTTAAATTTGGCTCATAATGCCCCCACGCCAAATGGGCACGTCCCTTATAATAAGGGCGACCCAAGTGAGGGCACGACCCAAGTTGGTGAAGAAGAAGTGACGTCGTTTAGTGCCTGACCTTTTTACTGAGTAGAAGCCACCAACTTTTGTACCTTTTTTATTATTTCGAGTCTCCTACTATATAAAGGAGACCCCCACATTGTAATAGGGGTATGGTTATTCTCGGATAATACAATTTCTCTCTCTATCTCTCTCTCTCTTATCTCTTTCTTGATTTTCCAACCATTGCTTCCCTCTTAAGCTAAGTCTATTTCACTACGCACTTACAGATCTACAAACATTCTTGAAGCAATAATCATCTCTTGGGCTTATTATATTTGATTACGATTTACCCCTATATATTTTCGATTGTTTTTAAGCTTATAAAATACGAATATAATTTTTGAGCTAAACAATTTGGCTCCGTCTGTGGGGATTTCGAGAATCAAAACCATAGTATCCACCTAGAGATCAACCAACTACCACTCTCTACACCACACAAAAACAGAAAATGGCCGAAAATAACACAAGATCGAAAGCTATATTGGGTGTCACTACCAACCTCCTTGGCCCTCTCAACGAGGCCAGTGACGATGGCATCCTGAATGCAACCCCTAGCATCACACCGGGTGCAGAGATCTCACCTTCCCCATCCGAAGGTCTGACGATCTTGCGCGAAAAAGGAGCTTCCACATCTGCGGCTACGGAAGCACCCTCAGCGGTCAAGAAGCTACTGGAAAGATGGCTAACAAGCACTCTAAGTGGCTTGGTTGAGAGGTCACCACAAAGTAACATCGGGTGTACACCAACGGTAGGTACCACTGCTGCCGTGGGTGAACCGGAAGTTGCACTAGCGAATAACAAACCCATCGAGACACAGACCAACGATGGCACGCTAACAGCCATCATAAAGAAGATGGAAGACATGGAAAATGAAAACAAGGCGCTCCGCGGTCAGATGAAGGAACATCAGGAGAGGGTCGACAAGATCCCCGGTGCTCCCAAGTTGCTACCAAAACGCGACGTGGGAAGGTTCGTTGAACAACCATACACTGAAGAAGCTGCCCCTCACTCCACCCCAAAAACCTTCAAGATGCCACCCTACTTGAGGGTATATGACGGAACCACAGATCCCGAGGATCATCTGATCCACTACGTCACCGCTGTGAAGGGCAACGACCTATCAAAAGAACAGGTACCGTCGGTACTGCTGAAGAAGTTTGGCGAGACGTTGACAGGAGGGGCCTTAACATGGTACTCTCAGCTACCGGCTAAGGCAATATCAACGTTCGAGGAAATGGCGGATAAGTTCGTCACAGCCCATGCAGGCGCGAAGAAAGCGGAGGCCAGGGTCAACGACATCTTCGCGGTCAAGCAAACCACAGGAGAGGGACTCAAGGACTTCCTGGCAAGGTTTAACAGGGTAAGGATGAGTCTACCAAATGTATCGGAAGGTATGGCAGTCGCCGCTTTCCAGAACGGGCTAAGTAGGGATGGTTCGAGGGCAACCAAGAAGCTGCTGAGCCGCCTCATGAAATATCCCCCTACCACATGGGAGGAAATCCACAATGCCTATTGCGCCGAGGTACGAGCGGACGAGGATGATCTTAATGGGCCGACCCAACGGCTAACAGCGATACACTCAGAAACGTGGAGAGATCGACGGAACGAAGGACGACGAGAACAACTCCCCCGCTCCAACAGAGATCGACATCAGCCATACACCAGATCCTCCCATCCGCCACCAAGGCATACAGACGCGCTACAGCGACACGTCGCCGCACTCCGAAACGAAAGAGGTACGCCCCCTTTATTAACCGCCCATAACTTTTGTGTATCTCCTTCAGAAATAGTGTACGCACTGGAGAAGCTGGGCACCAAGGTGCAGTGGCCGCAGAAGATGAAATCAGACCCTGCCACAAGGAAATCAAACGCCATATGTGAGTTCCATCAGGAACGGGGACATAAAACCGAAGACTGCATAGGCCTACGGCAAGAGGTGGTCAGGATGCTGAACCAGGGATACCTGAGGGAGTTACTCAGTGACAAAGGGAAAATCAACTTTGCACGCGGACGAGAACAACCCCACGGGCCGCCGAAGCCACCTTCCCCAGCGAGCACGATAAACATGATCGTCGGAGGCGGCGACGAGTCAGTGATCAATCACGTCAAGTTCGCCACCACACACAGACTAAAGCGGACCATCGCCCATGAACGGTATGACGACTTCGAAGATAGTATCACCTTCGATAAGTCTGATGCCGACGGTTTGTCTTTCCCTCATTATGATGCTTTAGTTATCACTTTACGTATCGCTGATACGGATGTTAAAAGAGTCATGATCGATGACGGAAGTGGCGCCTGTATTATCCACCCAAGGGTCCTCGTACAAATGGGACTCGAGGATAGGGTAATACCGCGCTGCATAACACTAACCGGTTTTAACAATGCAGTGGAACGGACGTCCGGAGAAATAGCACTGCCCGTCTTAGCGGGAGGAGTCACGCTGGAAACAACTTTCCACGTGATGAACCAAGAAACGGCGTACAACGTCATCATAGGACGCCCGTGGATACACGCCATGCGAGCGGTCCCTTCAAGCCTCTACCAAGTGATCAAATTCCCTACCCCATGGGGAGTATTCAGTATTCGAGGCGAGCCACGCACCGCACAAGAATGCTACAAAATAGCCCAAGACTGCGCCCACACCCAACAGCTAAAGGGGGCGAGCGCGGAGGCATAGCAATTAGCCGTGTCGGGGACTAAGGTCAACCCGACAACGGACGCCATCAAAGACCCCGACGTCGTGGAAGCCTGTAAAGCAACGGTCGAAGATCTCGACCCAGTCCAATTGGACGAAACCGATCTTACGAAGAAAGCCTATATCGGGCAAGGTCTCGCCAACCCAAGTAAGTATTGTGAATTCTTAACTAACCATGCAGATTTGTTCGCCTTTTCCCATTCAGATATGCCGGGAATCCCGCGAGACATCGCCACCCACAAGCTGAATGTCGATCCACTACATCCGCCCGTGCGACAGATGAGGAGAAAATTCAACGCCGCTATCAATGAAGCGGTCAGTGAGGAAGTAGACAAGTTACTGGCCAACGGCTCCATCAGAGAATCAAAGTACCCCCAGTGGGTCGCCAATGTCGTCATGGTCAAAAAGAAAAACGGGAAGTGGAGAATGTGTGTGGATTTCACTGATCTGAACAAAGCATGCCCAAAGGATTCATTCCCACTACCCCACATCGACCAACTGATCGACGCCACTGCAGGACATGAACTACTGAGCTTCCTAGACGCCTACTCCGGCTACAATCAAATCATGATGGCCGAGGAGGACCAAGAGAAGACAACTTTCATCACCCACCAAGGGACTTACTGCTACAAGGTAATGCCCTTCGGGCTCAAAAATGCAGGGGCTACGTACCAGAGACTGGTCACCAAAATGTTCAAAGAGCAGCTCGGTAAGACTATGGAAGTCTATATCGACGACATGCTGGTAAAGTCGACAAGAAAAGAGGACCACATCGACCATCTGAAAGAAACCTTCGAGATATTGAGAAGGTACGGGATGAAACTGAACCCCGAGAAATGCGCCTTCGGCGTGGCATCAGGAAAATTCTTAGGGTTTCTCGTATCACAACGAGGTATCGAAGTCAATCCAGATCAGATCAAGGCGATAGACGCAATACCCGAGATACTGAACAGCAAAAAGCAGGTGCAAAAGCTGACGGGGCGAATAGCCGCCTTGTCTAGGTTTATCTCACGGTCCTCCGACAGATGCCATAAGTTTTTCAATGTGCTGAGAAAGGACAATGGGTTACAGTGGAATGAGGAATGCGTCGAGGCCTTAAGAAAATTGAAAGCGTACCTATCTTCGCCGCCACTGCTGGCCAAAGCAAATCCAGGCGAGCCCCTGCTGGTATATTTGGCCGTATCCGAGGTCGCCGTCAGCGCAGTCCTAGTTCGTGAAAATGAAGGTACACAATCTCCTATTTACTATATTAGCAAAACCTTAGTGGACGCCGAAACACGGTATCCATACCTTGAAAAATTAGCTTTGGCATTGGTCGTAGCTTCACGGAAGCTCCGACCCTATTTCCAATGCCACCCCATAAAAGTAGTGACGACCTTCCCCTTAAAAAGTATCCTACACAAGCCTGAGTTATCAGGCAGACTCGCCAGATGGGCCATAGAGCTCAGTGAGCACGATATCATATCATCCAAGAAACGCCATCAAGTCGC